ACCACCCCGTCTGTCCGCTCCAATGCCGCCACCATCAGCAACGCCGGCGTCGGTCCTCCAGCTCCGTTCACGTAATTATCTAAAGGGGATGCTGGGATCTGGCAGCGCCTAAGGTCCATGCGGAAAACACCTATGAAATTTGGCCAAGCGAGTGTAGCTAACGCGGTGATAATTGTACCGAGGTAACCCTCGCAAATCGGGTAGAAGCCCGACTAAGCTGCCAACTCGAGAGACTCCACCCTGTGCAGCATCCCCCTCATATTATTCCTCTGTGCCACAAGTGGCAACACCTACCGGACCCATTCACCCAGATCTTCCCCTAACAAAGTCCACCGACTGCCACAATTGTCTCCGTGATATTTCACCTGGCAAAAGTCTCTACGGAGATGTAATTGCTCATCGAGAACGCAAAGCCGGAGAAGGTTGGAGGCGCCTCGGAGTGATTCGTGACAGAAAAGTAATCCGCGCGATTGCTCGCGAGCAGCGTTCCAGCTTCCAATTGGCTCCTTCGATTCCCTCGAAGGGAGACGAATGGCAGGAATCGAAGGAGACATTATACGAAGTGGGAAAGGATTCGCGAGGAGCGACGGCCAGTGCTGACGTCACACATTGATACGCGGCCGAGAGGTGTTTCTGTTTGTCGAACACTTGAAAGGAAATTGACTCTTATCGGATGATCCGGTGCCGAGGTCAGATAAACGAACTCGCCGGATTTGTCGGGCTTAACGAAGCCCGCGTGTGGGACGCGGCGATATGCCAGCCGGTCGAATCAACTGCCGCAGCAGGTCTCGCGGCTGCATTTTCCAGGCGCAGCCCAAAAACCTATATTGGCCCGTCCGGCGCCGTTGAACTTCTCCAGGAGTCGACTTCTCCAGGCGGCACCGACTAAAGTTAAACTAGAATCGGGGGTTACAAAGTGACTAAGTTATTAAGCAGTTGTTCAACTTTTAATTGCATCCCGGCGCCTTGCTGCTTTAGCATTCTCCTGCCGATGGGCCGGTTCGCGCGTCCCTGCGCCCTCGATAAACTTATTTCCAGGGGACAGGCGAGCGACGAGGATCGACGAGAAACGAGAAGCAAGGGACATAAAGGGACATAAAGCGGGGAGCTTACGCACGGGACCGAGATGTCTGTATCCTGACTGGATTGCCAGAAGGGATGCCACGTGAGAACCACCCTTTACTCGGACCACCCACTCGTTCTGGTAATCCAAATTCTGAGACTCGTTGGCAGCCCCGCGCGAGACACACGTCGTCAGACCGAGAATCCACGTCAGCAATCTGCACCATGACCTGAGCACACAGAACGCTATATTGTGTATTTAATCTGGGACGACGTGCAGCTGCATCTGCACCGGCTGCTTCTAACAGAAGTTTCACACGACGTATGAATACGTCCGAAAAGCAGAGTGTGACTTACCTCGCCATCAGAGAATTCCCAAAGATTGAAGAAAAAAAGAAAAAAACCAACAGAGTTTTGGACGCTTCAGGGTTCACTGTCTCTACGATGGACGCGAGAGCGAATAGTCGGAAGGTGAAAAATGCGTGAAAAACGAAGAAGCAGAATCGAACCGATCGCGAATATCGAACAAGTCCGAGTCGCTCGAGAACGTAATTCCAAGTGACAGGAGGACAGCGTGATGGCTCCGCGTGACAATTAGTTGTCGGGATGTTCTTTTGTTTGTCGGTAGTCTATCCCCACCAGAAGCGTCGCGACGCTCCTGGCTGGTGGGGATGCGAGGGGTGCATCCGCGACACTCGCCCGTGGGACGATGCGCAATCGTCCTTCGAGAAGGACTCTTCCGGGAGAACACTTCTTTGGGACTTCAACTCCCCTCGGAGATTTTACATGAGAAATCGAGTTTTTATTCAAACTCGAAAGCCGCTTCGACTGACAAATCCGATCTTCAGGCGATCATTTCTCCGCGCAGTCCCCCCACGCGGCAGTTTCGAGTTCGATTAAAAATGCAAGAAGAAATCCTTGGCTTTCGTGTCCGACTGAGTTCACTTTGAATTTCAAGGCTCTGGATCTGAGGTAGCGACCCTCGGGTCACTTCCGCAAATCCGAATGATCTCTGGATGTTCTGTAGGGTCCACCAGTTCTCTGATCCTCAAGCCCACGCCTCTCTCTCTCTCTCTCTCTCTCTCTCTCTCGCCCACCGACCCCTCGGAGCTTCGAGTAAGTCCGCGCTATATCGATGCCTTCTCTTTTTTGTCGGACTGCTGCTGCCCTCTGGACTCCGTCAGCCGTCGACCGTATCGTTAGTTACCGACGTGGTTTTGCACCCTTATCGAGCGTTTTCCAGCCTGACCAGCAACCGTCTCCGTCACGCTCACCAGCTTTCTTCTTTCTTCCTCCACGAGTAATTAAACTTGCGAAGAAAATCGAAAAAATTCTACTGGTCATTTCCGGTCGAGGGAGTCTGAGCTTCTGCCGAAGATCCAGCAGCGGCGGGAAGAGGAATTCCCACGGCAGGATCCGAGCGACTTTGGGATCTCGTTTTAGTGACATCTTCTCCTTTTTCCTAACCATCAGTGGCAACCGCCATTACGTTAACGTTGCATAATAACTTGTAGGAACACGTGACGCTCCTGGGCGCGCCCACACGCACCTGCACGCGTGCGTCTTAGTCCATAAACGCACACGCGGCCGAAAGGCCAAATTGACTCTCGAGCCATAAACTCCTGCCGTAAAATCGCGGCCGCAGGGCCACCCACCAGTCCTGCCATTTGGTGCCAAGGAATTCGAGTGGAACTGGCTGGAACAGGGATTTATCCGGCGCTTTCCCTTTTTCCTTTTTTTTTCTTTTTTTTCTTTTTTTTCTTTTTTTTTTTTTTTGTTGACCGTCGTTCCTATTGGAATATCCGTTCGGAGATCGAGTCGCAACGGGGAGGATGGCGGTGCCGCAGGATCCGACGGCGCAGATTAGATTCGCGTTAGTAGAAACGTCCCAGTGGTTGCGGCTGGGTGGGAAAGACAGTTTTCAGATAATTTCGTTAGGCGCGTTATCGGGCCTCGGGAGTTGGCCTTCCATTAGGGAGCGTGCTACTATTTCGACACGCTCCAATGAGCTTGCGGCGAGCGATCGTCCTGAGGAAGCTCGTTGGGAGGCCACGGTGCGAAAGGGCGAGGGGACTGG